TTTTTATCTTTGTTTAATGTTGGACTTGTTTATCATCCTTTTTTTCAAAACCTTTTTATTCTCAAATTCATTTTCAATCACACATTCACACAATAAATATTATATGTGTAAACCCAAATTTATTTTTATTTTTTAACTACGCATTATTAAAAAAAAAAAAAAAACTATTCCAAACCTTAGTTTCTTAAAAATAAAAAACTAATTTTAATGTTTATCAAATATAGACTTAATAAAAACCACAAACATAAATATTTGAAACTTAATCGTCTATTCATTCGACATCAATATCATATTCATCTATTTGGATGTCACTTAGATTGTAATCCTAGAAAGCATTTGAGATGCTCTAACCGATTATTTATCAACAAATATTTGAATATTCTAAAAGCCTAATAATAGCTAATCAAGAGGGGGATGACTTGTTTTAAAAAATTTTTTTGAAAAATTAATCTAAATTCAAGTAATTAAAGACCAAATAGACAAATTTAAATAATAAGTGCAAATATAAAAATAATAAGTAAAAGGAAATAGAGTGTGCAAATGGTGTAATTGCGGAGATTCGATTCAAACAATGGTTCATATCTTTCGTTACCAAACTCTCCATCACAAGCAAGACATTTTCACTATATTTGATTAACTTATGATGTAATTCAAACTCTTACAATACTTTTGGTGACTTACAAATAAGTAGTACCGATCATTATACAGTATTAAGTTTTACGATACCTCAATATAGCTCACAAATTTGAAGGAAATTGCTTTTACAATTTGGAATTTTTTATTAATAAATGATACGATTAAATTAAGTACAAAGAGATAAATAGACATAATACTTTATAAATAGTAATGAATGAAACTCAAGTGTTAGGTGAGAAATTTTTTAATTAGAATAATGATTTTCAAAAGTTTTCAATCATAAGACGTGTAATCAATATAGTTTAGCTCAAGAATGTTTTACTTTAATACTCTCAAAAGTGTTATATTGAATGCAAAATGAAATAATATTTATAACAGTTAAAATGCCAAAAATATGACTAATCGAACGAAACCTATTCGGATGTCGGCATACTGAACCGGACAACCAAACTAGCCGTAGTGTGTCATAATTCAGAGCAATTAAAAAATTGACCATTGGGCGAACCAACGTCCGCTAGGACCATCCGGACATCCGTTTGGACAAAAATTTCCTGAATTCTTCTTTCTTAATTGTTTTGAAAAATATAAGGTTTTGAAGGGCTTTGTCACTTAATTTTTCAAGGTAAGTAATATTGTAAAAAGTTTGAATATCAAGCTGAAATTTTTACTTTTTGAAAAATGATTTTTATGTAAGCGTTTTTATGAAATAATTTTTATCTTACATTATTAAAAGAGTGAAGGATTATGTACTATTCATAAACACTGTTCATAAGCCGTCGGCTCGACTAAACCTTTTTTTTTTTTT